TGAAAAACAGTGCACTAGGCCATCTTGTCCTTTGCAAAAAGGTAGCAATGGAAGAATTTGGTTTAGATACACACACACGCTTCATTTCAGTAGAGAGAGAAGAAGGATCACAGCTTAGCTGCTGGCCTTGACAGAGCTGACTGCTGTCATGGTGGCTGCTTGTTGCTATGGATGCGGCTGATCGCATATGGATCAGTTAATGTTACTACAGCAAGGAGGGGGGAGGGACTCAGCAGAAGTCACCAAAAAAGGCAGATGACACTCTGGGTAGTATGCAGCTATGTCCTAGTCAGAGTAGACCCATTGAAATTAATGAGCATCACTAAGTTGTTGTTGTTGTTGTTGTTGTTGTTTACTCGTTTAGTCGTGTCCGACTCTTCGTGACCCCATGGACCAGAGCAGGCCAGGCACTCCTGTCTTCCACTGCCTCCTGCAGTTTGGTCAAACTCATGCTGGTAGCTTCAAGAACACTGTCCAACCATCTCATCCTCTGTCGTCCCCTTCTCCTTGTGCCCTCCATCTTTCCCAACATCAGGGTCTTTCCCAGGGAGGCTTCTCTTCTCATGAGGTGGCCAAAGTATTGGAGCCTCAGCTTCACGATCTGTCCTTCCAATGAGCACTCAGGGCTGATTTCCTTCAGAATGGATAGGTTTGATCTTCTTGCAGTCCATGGGACTCTCAAGAGTCTCCTCCAGCACCATAATTCAAAAGCATCAATTTTTCGGTGATCAAGTTAGGTCTATGAATTCCAACAGGTCTACGGCTCTCTTATTCCAAGCAAGCAGTTCCTATCTATTGCCATGCACTAGCCTGGAGATCAGTGCCTTTAAATGGCTTTGTGGTGGAATGGAGCTGGTTTGGCAGGTGTAGCTTCTCCCACCACCAGAGCAGGATGACATGAGATTTTGCATCTGTGGAATTTCTCCTAACTTCAAAACACTGAAAGGAAAAAAGAGCTTTATGCAGGGTGCCATTTGGTAATTAGATTCAGACCAAGCCTGACGAAGATGACCAGGGAGGTGGCAATACTGTTTTCTCTCTGTTCTCCTTTGCATGGCAATGACTCAAAGTACAGTATTGCATTTATTATGTTCGCAGGGGAAGTACATAGTTTCAGTCAAAAGGCTACTAGGGATCTAACTATGTCAACTCCCCACTCGGTCATGCAGCTCAGTGGGTGATCGTGGGCCGGTCGCCACCTCTCAGCCTAACCTGCCTCACAGGCATAGCTGCCAACTTTTCCCTTTTCTCGCACGGAATCCTATTCGGAATAAGGGAATTTCGCTTTAAAAAGGGAAACGTTGACAGCTATGCTCACAGGGTTGTTGTGGGGATCATATGAGGAAGGGAAACCCATATATACCACTTTTGTTTCATGGAGAAAATGGTGGGATATACATGCAATAAATAAATAAAATAAAACATAGTCTAACCAGCCTTTCTCAACCTGTGGGTCCCCAGATGTTGTTGAACTACAACTCCCATCACCCCTATCTAGCAAGCCCAGAGCTCAGGATGATGGGAGTTGTAGTTCAACAACATCTGGGGACCCACAGGTTGAGAACTGCTGGTAGCCTAACCCCTGTTAAAGCACTCCTTGCTATATATAGGAAAATATTCTGAATTATGGTGAATACAAATGGCAGTTGTTAATCCAGATTAAAACCCCTTTGTGGAAGCTGGGTTTGGATAGAAACAGTTCCAAATTCACCAGGCATCTTCACATCCTACTCATGTACAGAAAAGATAAGACTATTCAATGCAGAATTGGCTGCTCTTACCATGAAATGATTCTAGTAGGAGCTCCATTTTCTTACAAACAATATTTGTGTGTGTGTGTTGTTTCAAAAACAAAAAACAATGAGGAGGCATCATCCTGCACCCACAAAGGAGCAGACATTTCCCCAGAGACTCCCCGTCCCCCGCAACACATCTTGACACTTCCTTCCCCCCCAATGTCTGGAAAGAAGCCTAGTAAGGGAGGCTTTTTAAAATGGGGAAGCAGAGAAATGGCAAAGAACTCAAGGAAGGAAGGAGGCATACATTTAAAGCAGCTATACCACTTTAAGAGTCATGACAGTCCCCAAAGAATCCTGGGAACTGTAGTTTGTAAAGGGTGATGAAATTCCCCTCACAAAACTACAATTCCCAGAATGCTATGGGATGAAGGATTGATGGTTATACTACTCTGAGAAATGTACCTCTGTGAAAAGGTCTCCTAACTACTCTGAGGACCCTTAACAAACTACAGTTCCCAGGATTCTCTGGGGTAACCATAACTATTTTCTTCTTCTTCTTCTTTGGTGATCACTTGTAGCCAAGTAAGATTGTCTTCCATAAACACGGTTTTAACAATGAGTCCATAAGCGACTGTGGAGGCCAATTCTGGAACTGCATGTCCTTCCACAGTGGGGACATTGGTTTCTGGGTGGGAGTCGATCACGGTGTGGATTTGCCAAGCGTGCCTTCCTCTTAGCACGTTTCTCCCTTGCGTCCTGAGTTCGAGTGTAGCTTTAAATGCAAGATGAAGGTTGGACCAACATAATATAGACATGCCCTGTGTCTTGGCAACCAGGTTAGGACTAAGGAGGATAGGCACTGCATTTCCTAGCTTGCCCACAAAGAGCTACATAGTTTGAAACTACACACACACACACACAGCCTCGAGCAAAATTATTCAAGCACTTTGCCATATAAAAGGAGGATTGTAACTCCAGCTTGTCAGTTTACTGTTCAGGGTAAGGAATATCTCAATATTACACAGCTTTTACATCAACTTGGTTGAGGCCTCAAGGTGCTTCTGTCATAGAGCAATAAATAATAATTAAGGAGACAGCGAGGCAGCAGTTTTAAACTTGCCTGATTGCATGTCAAACGAAGTTACTAAAACTTAAAAAAAACACCCTAGAATGAAATACACACTTTCAAGTTAGATCTGTAGCATCAAAACAGCACAGCGCAGGATGGGGTGGGGTGGGGGGGGGTTAATAATACGTCGTTCAAGGGGTCTGGCGGGGGGTGGGGGCCGTGAGCCAAGGCACCAGCAAAGAGCCACAAGCTGTTGAATGAGCCTTGCTTCATCCCCCTTGGGCGCATTAATAAGCTCCTCTGCCATGTTAAGCATACTTAGTGTGCTCCACCTGTCGTTCTGATCAAAGCTGGAGGTCGGCTTCAATGCAAGAGTGTCAGATGGGCCAGTTGTGAAGCTAATTGTGGGAACAGAGAACGCAAAACCCAAAGCTCCCCACCTCCTTGTGTGCCTGAGGCAGCCTTGGAACACCAGTTAACGTCTTCACTAGCAAGTTGCAGCTGCTTTTCAGTGCAACTCCAAAGTGGGAGAGGAGACTGGGAAGAGGCAGAGTGAAGACTCGCACCCAACCATCCTGCCCACGGACACAGGACTCAAATCAAGGTGCCTAGCTTTGAAGACCAGCCACGTTAGTTTGGTACCTGAGGCGGAAAATCCCACAATCGGTATAAACAGGGCGGTTCTACCATTAGGCAAAGTGAAGTGACCCCCTCAGGCAGCAGATGTTGGGGGACAGCAGCAGCCCCTCCTTTGTTAATGAGCTCCCAGCCATCTTGCTCTGCTGTCACATCACCTGTCCTGGGTCCTCTAATCTGACTGCTGTTTCAGGTGTGGTAAAGGATACTATCCTGTCATCAGCAGTGAAGTAAAATTCAGCAGCCAACTCAGTCTGCTGCTCTACAATGGAACAGGGAGTGGGCAGCCACTTATTTTATTTAATTTTATATACCGCCCTTCATCAGAAGGCTTCAGGGCGGTTCACTTGTCATTCACCATAGGTAGTAAAATGTCTCTGGACAGCTCTGTGTAAAAAGACAGCTGCCACAAAATAAATGAATAAAGAGCTATTTGGTTTCCCTTCCTGACACCCAAGTCAAATGCCTGGAGGTGGCTGCCTCTCACTACCTAATGACAGAACCGGCCCACAAGATCTCATTCCTGAAGCAGGCTGGGAAACTATGGGGTTTTTTTGAGAGAGAGGCTATTTGCAAAATAGCCACCTGGATCTAGTGTTACCAGGTTCAATGGTGAACCCGTGTCTGAGATCCTTCATGCATGAGCCAAATAGAAAATGGCAAGGAGAGCTTCTCAGGTCAGAAACTTGTAGTGGAGGGAAAAGTTGCGCGTGTGGGGATTATGTCTTATATAGCTAATAAAGCCGCAGGTGCCTGGTTGCCCGTGAACAAAAATCCCAATACTATTTATAGTTCCAGAGCAGTCCATGAAAATTGACAAACAGGGTGGGGTGGGGACAAAAATGGATACTTCTTGGGGTTCTAAAAAATAATGTGAGGGAACCATCCTCCTCAGAGGAAAACTGTTTTTGTTTCTTAATTAAGCTTTGGAAAGTCAAGCCCTACCCAGCCACACAGAATCTTACACAGAGGTGTGAGGCAGATGGACATGGTGTGAGGAAAACAGCCTCGTGGGCCAGATCAGGACCCTGTGCCAGCACACATTGGGGCCACAGGCCAGACACTCCCTACCCCTGTGCCAGAGTAACAGCCAATCAGTGCTTATTTTCAAAGATTAAAAGTGCTGGGGTTCTAAACACGCCATCCTGAAGTCTCACTTCTGACTCCTTAAGCTCTTAGCTCCCTCCGCACATGTCAGGAGAGCAGCTTACAAAGATGGCTTACAATCTAAAAGGCAGAACTCAACAGGGATTGGTTGGGAGAAGGGGAAAAAAGCAAAAAAAAAAACCCCTCAGGGGCCAGTTTTTTGTTTCTAAGTTCTCATACCATCCAGCTAGAATGGAAACCATTGAAGTTACCTAACTGCACTACTGCATCCATAACAAAATAAATCACATGAGAAACCAAGTTACCAAAGGTGTATTTAAGTGCCCAACTATTTGCTCTTTGTCCTTGTTCCCAAATCTCTGATCTTGAGAACGAAACCTCTTGCCCACAGCAAAGTCCTGGTCTGTGACCTCACTTGATTGTTACCTGTTGCTGTGGCGACTGTGTCCTAAACATGGAAGGCAGAAACTGAAAAGCTGGTTGGCGGAGAACGCAGGCAGTTCAGCAAGAGCAGAGACCACCACCTACTGGTCCATTCAATTATCACTTGAGTGGCTGCTTTCAAGGACATTTCCTATATGCAAGGCAATCAGTCACATTTGAGTTCCCTGAGCTATTTTCTATTGAAGCTTGGTCACTGTGGAAAACAGGAGATGCATTGATGAGGGCATTGGCATACATACCCCTTAATGATTTTTCTTGCTGTTTTGCCACTGTAATGCGCTGTACTAGATGCTAAAGTCGTTCATTTTTAATTAAAACTTTCTGCCATGCCCCACCTGAATATTTGGGACCACTGGTGGTCCACAGACCATACCTTTGGGCAATACTGGTCTATAGCAAACCTGATTCAAATGAGATCCAGTTTAGGACTCAAATGAGAAACATCCTTTATGTTCTTACACATTCCCACATTCCTGGGAGAATGCCCATAAGCCATGCATTACAGGAACTAATACTTGGCTACCTCATCACAGGGTTGTGAGGATAAAGTGGGAATGAAGAGAAACAAGTATGCCACCTTGAGGTGCTTGGAGGAAAGGTGGGGATATAAATATAAATAAAAATAGTAATACTTTCCTAAAAATGCAGGTTTCACTATTATTATATTATTGAATTCAATAGCATTTTGTCTTGGCTTTCTTTGAAGGCTGCAGTCAGAGGTTTTGTCAGGTGGATTTCTAAATGTCTCTTGGATGCTATTCAGGTGGCAGCGCAGACCAAACCTGGAGAGAAATTGAGATATACTGGAATCTGAGCTTGTCCATCATCTCACACCTCCTGCACCAAGCCTCATCTTCAATTATAATCTCACTCAAATCCTGTGGTTCAAGTGAACTGCAGACTCTGGAAACACAGACTAGGGAACAAGGAATGGTACAGGTGCAAGGCTTTTATGTATTCAAAGCAGCAAAGAAACATGAACCAGGCTATTTCTGTTTGTGACCCTCCCTGTACATCTGGGTTAGAAATGCAGGTAGGTTCTCCTTCAAAAGTCCTGTGTATTAAGGAGCTAGCTTAGCACAGGTGTGGGGAACATCGGGCATACAGGTCAGTCTTATCCAGGGGATCATCCATAGGGCCATGGAGGTTGGGTACAGAATCCTGTCAATAAGTGCTGGCAAAGCAACCCTATGTAGCTGGTAGCATTGCACTCTCCGCTCATCACCTGGAAATGTGAAGATTCAATCCTGCTGGGTGCTGCTTTGCTGGTGAAGGAAACCCCTCCCTACTGCATGTTAGATGATGTAGGTGGGGCCACCAACATTGCATAAGGAAAATGTCACCTAATACTTCACAGCAGTGATGTTCCCAAAATTAGTGCACCATCATGCAGACAAAGCATTTTGGTTTAAACCAGATTCCTTTATGTTGTATACCTGTTCAACCGAAATTTCCTTCCAAGCAACCTTGGAACAGAGTGTACTGGACAGCCTACCTTGCCTCGTTTTGGAGCAGTCCTAGTGTGTGGCATTACTAAAGGAATGTACCAGTCCTGACAGGAAAGATTTGTGGTTGCTGTAAAGCGGAACATTGTATTATGAGAAAAGTGGGGGTGGGGTTTGCATATAAAAGGTGCCAGGTTCAACCAAGGGTATTTCCAGGTAGAATGGAGAAAGCCTTGTGAAACCTTGCTTGTCCATGCAGGCAATACTGCCTTAACATGAAGGTCTGACTTGGTCTAAAGGTAGCTTCTTATGTTCCTACCTTATTTCAAACTAAATTTTCATTTAAATTCATTATTTGAAACCAACTGTTTCTAGGAGCAGATGCTTTTACACTTGATTCTGTGTAAAGTTTGCTGCCCATACATCAGCAAGTCTACTGAAATGAGGGTGCATCCGCCACATAGCATCCTGTCTTGCAGAAGAGCAATGCTATATAACATTTTAAAACCCAAGCAATTATCACAGCCCACCTAAAGACCAATTTCATTTCTATCATTCATAAAACATGAAGCAGACAATGTATTTGATATTTGTAGCTTTATTATAAGACTACAAGCCAGAATCCAGAAATTAAGCAGTCTCTTCTTTGGCAATGCGATCTTTCTTGAGTGGTCCCTGCAAAGAAAATAGAAATGTGTCAGTCTAAACAACAGGAGATCCATAATCTCAAGACACATCCCAAACCATTTAACATTAACAGGTGGATTTTTTTAAAAAAGAGACAGAAGCCAATAGACTATGGAACACAACACAATTGTTAAAAGTCTGCTGCCACCAACTGGCCACAGCATATAGCAGTTCACTAGTGGACTACTGGTTACATTCCTGAGGGACCACTTAATGCTTGCTGGTTCTGGAGATTCCCAAAAATGCTAGACAAAGTGTGGTCAGCAAGATTCTTATGTGAGCAACTACTGTTGTGCCTTAACTGCAAATTTGGAGTAGGTAAATGCACACAAAGGTCCCCCAATTGAATTTGAATGTACTAGGGCTGAATTGAGACTATGCCAATACCATTTAATCTATTTACACATGCAAGAGCTGATCCTAATCCTGAACCATTAGTAAGTCTTTTCACACACCTTAGAACAAATTTCGGTGCTGCCCACTGTTCAATTACATAGGCATTAAAAGATCAATTCAAAACACCATTTTCCTAAGAGCAGATGCAGCAAGTAGCTTATATACTGGACACTAGAGAGGAAGTGCTCTTACCATGAAAACCTTCTTCTCCTCAGCTGTCTGGAAGCGGCCATGACCAAATTTGGAAGTGGTGTCAATAAATTTCAAGTCAATCTTCTCCAGGGCCCGACGCTTGGTCTGCACAAGCAAGGACTAGGGGGAAAAGGACATAGAGTAAGGCCGACTGGCAGGCAACTGCAAAATCTCAAATGGAAAAGGTTAAGCGATGGAAAGCCAGTACTTCAGAAACATTTTTCTACAGCTCTTCAAGCTTCACTACTACATTGTACTGCAAATTCTAACGCCCCCCACCCGCCTGGCATGTGGCTTGAAGAACAATATTAACTTTAGATCTCAGGCCTGCATTCAACCACAGTGCATAATGTGCCATTCAAGAAGAATTTAGGCCTGATTTGCCAATACATGATTATGGCCTAACTATATAAACAGAGGTCAGCAGCCAACAACCTGAGGATTGTCCCTGCTGGAAAGCCTGGTTGCTGTATGCTGTCCTAAGAATGTAAAGAGGCCAAAGAGCAATAAAAGCCCTCTCACACTTCTTGGAGAAGCTGATCTATTGGAAGCAGTGTGCATGCCTCCACTTGCTGTTTTTAGTGTCACAATCTGGTACAGAAAATGCTAGCCTTCTAGCACCCTGACATTATTGGAGAGCTTACAATATTTAAACAAACAGCTATAGCACCTCATCTAGCAAAGGAACTTCAAAGAGATCAGTCACCACCCTTCCACTGCTCACCTTGCGCAGAGTGAGAACTCTCTTCTTGGTCCCAACAACACAGCCTTTCAACATGATAAAATCATTGGTCACTTCACCATAATGGACAAATCCGCCCTGTGTGAGAAGAGCAAATAAATGCGTACGGCAATTATTTAGTACTACATACCACCAATATTCTGAATTCTGCAATTTCCCCTCACCCCCAATGGGATTCAGAGGCCAGAGATTTTAATGTCCAGCCAAAGCAGAAGGGCAGAACTCATGGCAGACAATCACTGAAGGGGTAAAAGGTGGGGGAGATGGTTTATGTTGAAGTGAATGGCACCTTTAGGAACTGTTAAGAGGACAACTTAAAACTAAGAGCACTGAAGGTTACTCTATCCCTCCAAAATGCAACAGTGGCAAATCTTTGAGGGACACACAGGCTTCCACCCAATGATGTTCTACCCAGACCCCCACATTTAAATTTGAAAGCCACTCACCAGAGGATTAATGCTCTTGTCAGACTGATCATACTCTGTTGAAGCATTGTTTTTGATCAGCTTGCCATCCTTGATTTGGTATCCTTGGCCAATCTTGTAGATCTATGTGATAAACAAAAAAAGGGAAGGAAGAAATGAATACTTTTCAACAATGAAACACACAAAAACTAACACCAGAGTTTATGAATCTGGTGACACCTGGCAACTCACAGATCCCTACTATGGAGGTCTAATTTCCCATTATAGGTTTTGAGAAGGCAAGATTCTGAGCAGCTGTAGTTTCCAATGTTTCTTGCCTTAATTAACCCTAAACAAATGTAAAAAGACCTTGTCACTCAAGCATGTCAAGAGTGATTGGTGGTGATCACGAAAAAACCCTAGCTCAAAACCCACACAAAGATTTGTGGCCCACCAATAAGGACATAACTCTTTAAAAAACCTTTAATTCCCAAGGAAGTTGCAATTTTTGTGTTAGCTGGTACACTGCTATCTCCTACACATGTTAAGCTTTGGAATGTTTCACTTTGGAAAGTTGTATTTATAAGCAAGTTGTACCATTACAATGCTTGTAATCAACTGCAGTGACTATTTTTAGAACTTGCAATGACTCATAACCGTTTTAAGAATGCACTCACATATTTACAGTTGAGGGGGAGGTAGCGATTGGCCAGCAAGTGACATTACTGGTATGGAACTATATTGTCCCAACTGCTCAACTAGGACAAGATTTCCATATAGAATTTTAGCAGAATGGGTTGCTCTTTACTGAAATGCTGCATTCTTATACAACCTGCAGTGTTGTAGGGCAAGTGGTAAGTGAAGCGGACACTGTTGTAGAAGAGCTTGGCACAGAACTTTTTCAGTCGTGGGCTCAAATCCAGCTAAGTAAACCAACCTCTAATAACACCACATTCTCTTTCTACCCACCTGCCGTTCTGCAGTAACATTTTATGAACACAGAACATGTTCAGGCTTCAACTGGAATGGAACCATTAAAATAATAATAAAAAATAAAATATAATAAAATAATAATAATAATAAATAATAATAATAATAATAATGCTGCAAAGCGCATCCATACCTTCTTATTGATTTCTGTGCGGTGATGGTACCCCTTCTGACCAGCTCGAGCCACAGAGAAGGCCACACGAGCAGGATGCCAGGCACCAATACAAGCCACTTTACGCAGACCCCTGTGAGTCTTACGGGGCAGTTTTTTGGTGTGCCATCGGCTGGTAACACCTAAGAGGAAGAGACATGGAACTTGTTAGAACTACTTAGCTCCAACATCTAATTGACTGGAGCCTCAACTGTGTGGGATATCAATGAAATGTCTTCCAGACACGCGAGATTACTATACTAAAATAAAGGGATCTTACAAATGACCACCCTGAAGAGGCCAAACCCTCTCCCGTTTCTTGCAAAGCTGGTCTCAGAAGGAAGGCAGCATGGAATGACTCCTCATGGGTATCGGGCACTGCGCCCAGTGCATATTCCATGATCTCATCACTGAACAGCCTCTTGCAAACCAAGAATATTTTGCCAACCCTCTTTACGCCAAAGCCAAATAAACTACATAGGATGTTAAGGACACTCTTAGTAGTTTAATCTCTGACATATTGTTGACTGGAAAATAAATTACCTTTGTACCCCTTGCCCTTTGTGACGCCAATGACATCAATCATTTCATCCTGGCCAAAGACAGTCGACACGGGCACTTGCTGCTCCAGCTTCACTCGAGCCCAATCCACCTTCTCAGCTACAGTGCCACCATTCACCTGGATTTCCATCAAGTGAGACTTCTTTTGCCGAAGCGGAAGCATTCGCATCTGAGATACCAAATAAAGAGTTAATGCATTGGTTGTGGCAAAATGCCTAATCATGTTTGCATTTTTTCAGTATCAATTATTATTTCTAGCTCAATCTATCCAAAGCAAATGGTAATTTAATGCTTTTACAAAAAAATTATGTTTGCAACATTAACTGATGACTTAAATTTCATCCAATACCATCATTCTCCTTGAGGGCCTTCTGAGCCAAACAATGCAATGCATTTTTAAAGGCTATATCAAAGGACCCCACATTTATTTTCTGATGCATTCATCAACAGCTCATTGCATGTATTAGAATCAAGACCCTTCACAAGTTAAACAAGAGCCTTTAGACAAATTACTGTGAAATAGCTAAATTGTAAAACCCTTGAAGAAATAAACTACAGTGGTGCCTCGCAAGACGAAAAGAATCCGTTCTGTGAGTCTCTTCGTCTAGCGGTTTTTTCGTCTTGCGAAGCAAGCCCATTGACGGATTAGCGCTATTAGCGGCTTATCAGCTTATCGGATAAGCAGATAAGCGGCTCAGCGGCTTAGAAAAAGGGGGGGAAAGGGGAAAAAAAACGCAGGAACTTTCGTCTTGCGAAGCAAGCCCATAGCAGATTCGTTTTGCGAAGCACCTCCAAAACGGAAAACTCTTTCGTCTAGCGAGTTTTCCGTCTTGCGAGGCATTCGTCTTGCGGGGCACCACTGTATATTTTGGGTCAGCAAGGTTTGACTGAACTGACAAAATCATGTATCCTTCCACTACTTGCCACCTTCTGGTTTTCAATACTCCATTAAAAGGATTCTGAAAGGCTTATAAAGCATTGTCCAATTTTACAGCCACAAAGCTGTATTTAAAAAGGGCTAAGTCAAAGGGTTGAAAGATAGTAAGTGCATCATGGCACAATAGCTTCTAGGTAAATATTACATCAAATACCAGATGCAACGAGGCGCCATTTACTTCACAAGACTTTAAAAGCACTACCACCCAACTGTTTAAAAAAATGGTAATACAAATTTCGGCAAAAATATTAAAACACTGAACTTGACAAAAAGGTGCAGTCTCCCCTTTCAGCTGATAATGGCAATTATGGACATGAGCATAGACAGAAGGCAAACCAGTCAAACAGTGGAATCTGCTATTAGCAGATCTTTGGCCATTGACACTAAACTATCTGTGAATTCATATGTGCTTCAGGAAATAGGCAATGCAAGAGCTCACCTGAGTGTGAGCTATGACCCTGATAACCTGGCAGTACTTCTTCATGCTGCTGAAGTCCTTCTCTAGTTGTTTCTTGCCTTCTTCATCCTGCCACTTCTTGCAGTACTTGGTAAAGGCCTTCTTCTTGGACTTATGCCTTCAAGGAGGAGCAGAGCAGAGATGGGGATTGGCAGAGCCCTTCATCAGCCCACCCAGAGAGGTGGTTGAGTGGAAGAAGCTGCCATAGGAATCAGTTTTGGCTCATTGCTGGCTTCTAAGGAGCCTTTTCCACCAGCAAGCGGAGCCAGGAGCTCATCAAGCAAGGGCAAGACTGCCAGAGCTGAGCGGAGCTGCCATAATTTCATACAAAGAACATTAATATGCACTGCACAGAACAGTAATTAAGAAAATGTATTCTGCCTTAGAAGCTCCATTTCTACTTCATAGGGTTAACTTCACTTTACTCACTTATAGCTTTCCAATCTTGCCTTTTAACACCATAATGCCACTGTTACCTTCCTAACAAACAACCCACAAATTTTAAAGGGCAACTTTTACATTTGCATACCTCAAATTCAGATATTCAGGAAAGTTACCAGTTATAGTACCCTGACCGGAGTGATTAACATGAACGTGCCACACTATAAGGGGGAGAAATCCTTTCCAAGATCCAGGTTAAACTAGAAATTTGTTGCCACCAGAAAAAGTCATACTACACTCTCCTAAGATAGCAAACTACAGTCAGTGCTCGACAATCAGCAACAAGCACCAAAGGTGATTTTTTAATGTCCGCCCGTCGAGAAATCATCATCTGTAGTGTTCACATACCCAAGAGGATATCATAAAACTGTACCCCCTTAGTGCAATATAAACTGAGTTGCTGCCAACTCAGTTCTACATAGTTCTACAAGAGAGCAATATATTTGGGGCTAACTATTCCTGCATCTTCCTAACTCAGGGAACTTTAGAATCTCAGCCATAATTACCAGTTCTTGTAGAACCGACGCTTGCACTCATCGCTGATATGCTCGGCAAAGATGGTCTTGAAGGTGCGAAGGCCACGGGGAGTTTCAACGTAGCCCACAATCCCCACAATAACCATGGGAGGGGTTTCCACCACAGTAACTGCCTCAACAACTTCTTTCTTGTTGACCTCTATGAAACAGATAACAGAACAAATGAACTCTAAGATAGTAATGAACCTATAGTTTCTATAAATGAGGGAAATTAAAACACCATCTAAAAGCAACCTAATCCTTCTGTTGTCAGGTTAAAGCCTAACATGGGGCATGTGGGCTGTCCTGAAAAGCTAAAGGAGTGCATAAGGTGAGGAATAGGTGCAGCAACAGTTCTTATGCCTGGTCTTTTCAAACACAAATAAACAACCCTGGTGATCAGAACAATACACTTCTTTCTTCTGCCCCCTAGGAATGATAGAGCACATGGACTGGTAGTGTAGAACAGCAAGTCCCGGCTCATACATACTCCATCTTGGCTATAAAGCAAGTAAACTCAGGCAAGCTGCTAGCCTCACACCTTCATCTAAAATAACAAAGCTAATAATGTCACATTGTAGAAGTATTGAAAACTACTATGTGAAGTGTCCTAAAGTATATCAATGCCATGTATCAATTTAACTTCCCTCCCAAGAGAAGAAATACGTACTGGAGCCAGGTCTGTCAACTTCACGGACAATGTGGGTCATGCCAGCTTTGTATCCAAGAAATGCAGTGAGGTGGATGGGCTTGGTGGGGTCATCTTTAGGAAAGCTCTTCACCTTGCCTCTGTGCCGACGGCTACGCTTGCGAGGCAGAAAGCCCAAAGACCCATGCCTGGGAGCTGAAAACTTGCGGTGGGACTAGAAGGGAGGCAAAGACATTTTGCTTAGTAGGAGACAGCTTTGCAGGTCCTCAACAACCTCAGGGTTCTTAGGAAGGCAAGGAAATGCTCTGAACACCCTGGGAGAGAAACTTCCCTTGCCCATAATAAATCCATTGGGAGCAACACTAAAGTGTGCTTCTGTTGTGTACAGTAATGCAGTGCATGCCAAGCAACATGCCTAACCTATTTTCCTTGCAAGTTTGGCAATACTACATCTCAAACACAGGTACACAAGACTCACGATGTTGCATTAAATAACCAACCCACCCTATGAGAGATTTTTATAAAAATACAGTCAGAATGGCCCTTTTATAGTTAACTCTTCAACCATAACCTGAGGTAATGGAGGCTTTTTGTTTTTAAGACAAGAGGATAAAGCATTTACTAAGTACAGTACGACTTGTCCCTCAAATAAAATCAAAGACTATACTATAAAAAGAAGCCCCAGCCAAAGATCAGGGATAGAAGCAGCTGGAGTCAGCAACATCCGGACAGCCACACGCCCTCCCATTCCTGCATTAAGAGCCATGACCGACCACGCTCCTTGGTGGAGCTGTTCTGGTCAACCACATGCAATGACCTTACAAAATTATCTGTAATTAATACGTTCAAGGCGTTTTAGCAAGGGCGATGCTACCAATGCACTCCGGGATAACAACACGAATCTTATGCACGCCTACTCTGAAGTAAGTCCCAATGGGGCCTTCCGCTTAAGTAAGGAATTGCTGCCTAAGTAGCTATAACAAGTTTCAGCAATTTCAAGACACCCTTTCTTTAGATGAGATCAGAGATGACGGCAGGCAGCCTCACGTTAGGCCAACTCAGCAGTCATCGGTAATGAGAATAGGCCCAGGACCCCGTTAAGGAGTGAGGCTTATGTAGCACCCAAATAATTCTCGGTGTGCCTTCAACAAAGACCCTTAAGCGAGATTGACCGGGATTGAGCGCGGCCGGAACGACCACTGACCCGATGGCAGCGGATTGCATGTTTCCCGCAAAGCTCAACTACCACCTACCATTTTGTCTCCGAGCCGATGTAGAAGGGAAGTGGAAAGGCGCGCGTGCGCTATTTATCCCTTCGCTTCCTAGGCGTGCGCAGACGCGTCCAGCCGATACGCATGCGCATGCGTTTCCAAATCGGTCCCACGTGCACTGTAATCCTCTATGCGAAATATCGCGAGGAGACAGAAGGAAACGATAACTTTTTTTTTTAAAAAAAGTAAAGGCTACGGATACCGGGAGGGTTCTGCATTCCTCCGAAGATGCCATTTCGCGTGAAGGACTGTTTTTCGGGAGGTCCCTCATTAAACTCGTGCATGTTTACGAGGAAGCAAATTCCATCCTTTCAATGGGGGATCGGGGAGGGGTATCTCTATCTAGCCATAATACTGGAGGCCGAGAAATTGGGGCTTAAATTTGTCTATGAAAGGACAGGATTATCAACGACGCGGGAGTCCAGCATAAACCTATATTCCGCCCCCCCCCCAACAGCAGTAGGGTGTACAAAGCAGAGAAGATGGTATTAGTTTGGAGGCGTCTGTTAAAGTTTGGTAATGGCTGAATATGCAAGCTTTTGGGTTCCATAGATCTCTTCAGCAGCCTTTCTTCCAAGTCAGAAGAGGTTTTTCTCAGAACCGCTTTGTGGTTTTGTTTGTTCGTTTACAGTCATGTGATATACACATTTTATCAAGTATAACAAAGAGGAAGGAGGAGACTGAGGAAGAAAATTACAGTATTCCTTACAGAAAATCCCTTCTGCTTCCCTGCACTGCTGTCACTGATGCTCAGGCAGCTCTGTTCTTTTACTGACCCACAGAAATCGTACTGAGTATGGCCCATCTCTTTCCAGCATACCCAACACCCAAGCACACTCCAGCTTCTTATCTGTGAACTTTCCCCCACTATGGGATTGTAGTCTGGGAGTGGGGAGTCTGAATCCTGCCCATTAGGGTTTTTTTTTAAAGCTCATGGTTTGGAAAGGCTGGAGTTCAAGGTAGCAATCCCACCCCAGCATAACCACACTTAGCCCTCTTTCTGATGCAATCTACTGTGGTGTCATCATCACCCAGTTACATAAGGGGAGTCCAAAAACAGATGGCTCAAGTCACAAGGCAAGGCAAGACATTCGTGCTGGGATGAGCGTGGCCTTGCTTCTAAGGGGTCTACATTAACAAAATGGCAGGTGAGAAGAGGCTTGCCATTTACCACCCAATTGGGAAACAAACTGTGATGTACATGGTGCAGCTGACTTTGAGGCTGCTGCCCCAAACCCAGCTCAAGCTACTCTACTTCTTTATGCATTACCTATTGGTGAAAGTCTACATGCCACTATTGCGCCCCTTGGCCACCATAGTCAAGCTAGTCTTCTGTTGGGTCACTGTGCAAGTGACTGGGATCTTCATCTTGTGGCACTGCAGCCTAAAGATGTTACGTGCCATGCATTTAATTCTCATCAGGAAGCTCTGGAAGGAAGTGCTCGTCCCAGCACTTAAAATCCTATGGCATTCTCGGGCAGCTGCAAGGTACTTGTGTTTTTATTTGGCTGGTGTCTTGCAATGGTGTGCTGCCAAATGGGCTCTGGAATTGCTAGGGTTCCTGAAACAAAGAAGTCTACCAGCTATTTCATCTACAAGGCTGCACCACTCCATAAGCCCCTTCCTCCAAGAAAACTATGAAACCTACCAGACAGTGTTGCGACCAGTCATGAAGCAAATTATTTTCTCGCTCTTCCTGGGATTGCTTGATGGAGTTCAGGAAGCTTTACAGCTGACAGCAAAAGTAACAAAATGTGCACTGACCCTGCTTTTTAACTTGGTCAGGCCCACACTGAGTTCAACCTGCAAAGCGAAGATCTTAGACCACATCACCAGTACACTCCCACATCCCTGCATGTCTTTGTGCTCCCGTTTCGGGGGCCCTTCGTTTTCCATCTTAAAGGACATACCACAGACTTTTGCTGCACTAAAGTTTGTTGTGGCCACTGAACACATAACCAGTGGGCCAGGCAAGTATGGTTTAGATGGCACCAATATTCCTCTGCATGTGAGATTCCAGACCAACATCAGAATGAGGAAAGCTTTTGCTATGCAAGAAACAAGTGCAACTTTGAAGCAGGTGAAGGTAGCCTGTGTGCTCTTCATTGCAATCTATCTTTCCGTGTTCTACAGTGTTGTTAAGGCCATCATATAAATGGATAGATTAGACAACCTCTTTTATGTGCAGTTGTTTTAAATGGTGAAAAAAATGTCCTTGGTGTAGCAACTGCACTCGGATTTTATCCTGGTGACTGTGATGATATGCAATAATCCAAAGCTAATTTTGGGGTACAGGGGCATATAAACTTCAATTCCATATTTATCTTGCTCATGCAGCTTTGTACCAAATAAGGAAATGTGAACTAGTAAGTGCCTAGGAATCCCAGGAAGAAAATGTGCTTCTGAAAGTCAAGCCTCTTGAGAGTTGTAGTTCATATCCTGACTGATGACAAATTATGATAATGGTGGTAATAAAAGTGTGGCTAAATGCTTAATGGTGAATCGTTATGGCAATTTGCACACATTTTCTGGTCTTGGAAATGTGAAATGCAGTCTGGGAAATTAGATAGATGGGTCTAAGAAGGTAGTACTCTTTCGAGAAGTTGCATACTCTGAAGCAACTATTATTATGACAGCACAAACTTTCTTGAAAGCAGGGAGAACTCAGGTGACAGTCTTAAGCTTGGGAGTAAATCTGAGTCAGAGGGTTGCACTGTCAAAATACACAAAAATATGCAAGACTACCTTTCATCATATCAAACTTTTTGTCCATGATCTGGCCTGGTGTTGTTTACTCTGCCCGGAAGTGATTCTCCAGGGTCTGGGACAAGGGTTTTTCACATCAGCCTGCTACCCAATTTTTTGCTTTCTTAAACAAACACCCAGAAATGCCAGGAATTCAGCCTAGGACTGAAATCACTTCAATATATTTTATGGGAAGTGACTCATAAGTGGAGTTAAATAAAGAAATACTCTGAATCACCCAGATGTCTCAGGGTCTGTAATGTTTGAAACCACACCAAAACACTCTTTGCTGGGCATAAGGGGGGGGCAGAAGGTTAATCACTAGTAGATCGTCAAGGGTTTATGACTCCCAATGGTTTAACAATATTGACCCTCCAAAAGCCCCTTTCCCATGCTAATGAGGCTGCTGAACAAAGTTTTAACAAATGCTGTGACCAAGCAGTAATATTTCCTATTCATTTGTATGCAGCTAGGGAAAATATTACTATATTTCTATGCTGCCCTTCCTTCAAGGAGCTCAGGGTGACCCACATACATGGTGTCCCCCATCCCTCTTTATCTTCACAAGAATCCTAATGATGGAGGTTAGAGTGACTGGCTCAAGGTCACCCACTCATAGATGAGTGGGGTTTTAAATTGGGCCCAACACTCTTCATATTTACACCACACTGCCTCTATTGAATGTTAGACGACCACAGGTGGGTGCTTCCTCCACAAATAGTCATGGCTACCCGAAGAGAGGAGAGTTGGGGTAGCTTAGCTAGGTGTTTGAGAGGGAGAGGAAAAATAAGTTCTGGTATAATTTGGTCCAGTTCTCTGGGGGAGTTGGAGTGGGTTCAGGTGGGGATGGCAAAACCTGGATCCCTATCCAAGTTTTTCAGGCACTGACAGTATGACTTCATTATTATAAATATTTCATTTTTCTCTCCCGAGTATGATCTAACATTCTGTAAGAGGCTTTGCACAATGTGATGCCAAATCTGACTCCATCCTAGACACGTTACTGTCATGTGCTTCTGTAAATATTATCAACTGGAGGTGGAGAGAGCAAAAGAGGAAATGAAAAAAAGCATGGAGAGGAACAGGGCTGCAGGAGTCAAGACAACAGGGTTATCATCTTTACACATAAAATATACACAACAGTGTAACATTATCTTCCTCATCCTGTTTGGTAGTGAACAAAAACAGATGTGATAAAAATCAGCAATATCGCTGTCTGTTGTTGGAGGTAATTGTGTTGACTAATTTAAACCAGATTTTTGGGGGGGATAAGGTGCTATGTATAATGCTGGCTAAGGCGATGAGAACTGCAACCTGAACAGGCATTAAATTGAGAACAAGAGGATGAGTGATGAATTATTAACTCTTCTTTTCACGAATGCAAGGTAATGTTGAATGCAAGGTGTGCTCTCTTAAGCCTGTGCAGATCGACCACTTTGAAACCACTTTTCTAGCCAAACTTTTAATTCAATCATCCTACTCTTAGCACATACAGATTTATATCTTGCATTTTGAACCATTTTGTTATCAGTTGTCATGGATGGCAAAAATTAAGGTTTTTCTTTAAACCAGGCATCCCCAAACTCGGCCCGCCAGATGTTTTGGGACTAGAATTCCCATCATCCCTGACCATTGCTCCTGTTAGCTAGGGATGATGGGAGTTGTAGTCCCAAAAACATGTGGAGGGCCGAGTTTGGGGATGCCTGCTTTAAACTGTTCAATTTTCTATTTATAATGTTATGCTGGTATATTCTAATGCTATTATCTTATAGGAAGTATGCAAGAACTTAAGGTATCAGAGTGCTACTCCAGGTTTTTGCTCTGCTATTCCACAATAAATCATGCACATTGCTCAGTCCCACTAATCTATGTCTCTCTCCCATCTAGAAAGGGAGAATTCTAAGTAGCATAGCTCAGCCTTTAACCTGAACAATAAAGCATATATTTTACTAACCACAAAACCAGACCTGCCAACTCTTTCGCTTTGGCTGGTAAACACCTGGTTTTAAAACTAATTTCTACCATTTCAGAAAAAGGAGGTTATTGTTTTTCATATTTTTTGGGAAACTAACTTCTAATTAATTTTAAAAAGTGATCTTCAGTCTTTCCCTGTCTTCTGGTCGGTTTCTACTGTGAGACTGCTCCCTAAAAGAATGCTGTTGTCCTCTAAGTCTAAAGCAAATTGCCCAAGAGCTGAGTGAATAAGCACGCACTTCAGCATGCTTGCACAATATGAATCATAGTCTCTAACTAAATTCAAAGACTGTGCAAATTGATTGGCTCTGAAAAATATCTGAATTAAGTTATCATTAGCTGGATCTTAGTCAGAGCCTCTAGTAGCTGAGCAGAAGAATGTTTCAAACTACTGATCAACCTTAAATCGTATCACATGCCGGCTTGTAGTAGGCCCTGCTGCTGTGTATCAACAGCAGCCTGACACGCAGACATTTAAGAGGCAAAGTCCCCCCCTGTTAGTGATAAATGGAGGGGGGGTTGGATTTGTGTGTGTCATTATGCTATTAAAAGCAGAGGATCTGAGCCAGTAAAAACTGGCAAATCTCTGCAGGGGCCACATCAGTTTGCAAGACAACAAATTAAGGTCTTTACTTAATACAATTTTAAACCACACATGGGTGTAGCCAGGATTTTTGTTGGGGAAAGGCTTTTGTTGGGGGGGGCAGAACCTCAGATTTGTATTGTTTTGTATTGTTTAGTAGGGGCAGCTGCCCCCCCAGCTATGCCCATGTAACCCCAATCATGTTGCACATTGTATGTATAACTTGCCAAAGCTGCCTTTCTGAAATTCATTATTCTTTTCTGAATGTAACAAGATTGAAAGACTGACTCTTTCCTGCAATATCCTTTTCGCTTTACAGTTTCCACTACGTGCGTGGCTTACAAGTCAAACAAAATATCTCTTTCCTATTAATACAGTCTCTAACATCAGCTAGAACTTGTCTCCTGAGTGTACCAGTGGGGGACCCATTTCATAACGTGAAGGCATGCAGAAAAGTATTTTTATTGGCAGCTCTAGAGCCATTGAATTTTCACGTACTGAAGACTTGCAGCACTTGTTGGGTCTTTTCTTTCAGCGGCCCTTCAAAGAGCTGGAGCTAAGCTGGAGGATGTAAAAGTGCTCTTGTCCTCTAGATGTAAAAGATAGATGTATTCATTTTTAATGCTGCATGGCCAGAATTGGCAAACTGTTTTTCTCCAAGTGTCTCAGCAAGTACCTGCTGAAACATGAAACAAAGTCATCAGAAGTTTAAGCAGCATTGCTGAGCCAAAGCTAATCTGCCCTGCTACATACAGACATCATGCTGCTGTCATAGGCAAAGATGTACAGGACAGAGTCTGTGACATCAACACAGGAGAAAAGCAACACACAAGCATGCAATGCCAAGTACTGTACTTTTTTTTTTTTATAGAATAGCTTTTAACAAGTGGTTTTTTTTATCTTTGATGAAAAGTGAATGTTTAATTTACTAAACAGGATTGCTCTGTAAACCTCCTTTTCCAAAGAAGCTCTAGTTTACAGACAGCACTAATAATATCCTGTTCATTTACTTGAGAGCAAGTCCCATTGAATTATGGTGAACTTGCTTTTGGAGTAAAAATACAAGGGTTCAGGTTGTTAGGTGGAGAGACCCCAGGCAGATAAGGGAATTTCTTCCTGTCCCAAACGAAATAACCCTGGATAGCTGTTCCTTGTTTAGCTTTCAAGCCATTAGGAATATTAGTCACACAATTTCAACATATGAACTGGTGTTTTTCTTCAATATGGGGTTAGTTTTATGATTTTAGCCAGTGTGGGGTAGTGTTTAAAATGCCAGAGTATTCAGTCATGAAGCCCTTTGGGTGACCTTGGGCCTGTCAGTATCTCTCAACCTAAACTACCTCACAGGGTTGTTGTGAGTATAAAATGGAGAAGGGGAAGTAATAGACCAGCTTTTAACACTGTGTTAAAAACGTATTAATAAACAAATAAATATTATCAGCACACACTGCACTACAAAAAGCAGCTGCATGAAAGAAATTCAAATAGTGTCTCCCACTGGGTTCAGGGGGGTTTACGTCTATGTAAGTGTGCAAAAGCTTTAAAGCTCAATCAATGCACCTTTTGGCACGACTCTGGCGAAGCATGTACTGTATAAGCATATATACCCCCCGCCACGGAGTCTCTGAGGTGCAGAAGCCCCCAGAGGCCTGCAGAGGCCCACCCCCTCCCCGCTCCCTTCGCCCCGCCCTCCATGTTGCCGGGGCTGCGCGGGCAGGGAGGCGCGCGCGCTCTCTTCCTCCGAAGCTCGCGCCAGCCCCATGACTGCCGCGAAAACGGGAGCGCGCCTGGCTTGCCGCTGAGCCCAAGCCTGCCACTGGTGCCCTGGCTGCGAGCGTGTTGCTCTCTCCTCCATCGCCAGCCAGCCAGCCAGCCAGGCAAGCAGGCGGGGCGGTGAGCGAGAGGCGAGCCGGAGCGCGGGCTGCCATGCCCAGCTAGCCTTTCCCTTGCCTCGCACACCACCCTTGCGGCACTGCCTCCGCTAAGGCTGCCCCTGCACGGCGCGCCCTCCTTGCCGGGCAGCGCGGGCTGGCTCGCTTCCCCTTCTCCTAAGCATCCCGGCCCGCCAGTGCAATAAACTTTTCGCTGCCGACAGAGCGACCAGCAGAGCGGCGGGTCTTGCCCCGGGGTCGCTCCCAGGATGGAACAGGGCGCGTACGGAGCGGGCAAAGCCGGGGGCGCCTTTGACCCTCAGACCTTCATCCGGCAACCTCACACGATCCTCCGGATGGTTTCTTGGGTAAGGACTCGGAGGACGCCTCCCTGGCCGCGCGGGGGAGGGAAGGCCATTGGCGTGGGAAATAACAAAAACACGTGCAAAGCAATCGGCACGTCTGAAAGAGAGATCTGCAGAGAGCCCTGGGCGGGCTTGGCTTGGCTGTGGGGTTGATCCCTATCCTGCTGACTGAGCACCCAGGGCAAGCTTTAAATGACACTCAGCGGGGCTTTAAGGAGGAGGAGGAATGTCCTTCCCAGCGCGCGCGCGCGCGCACGCGAGATCGTGGAAAGGAAGATTAGGAAAGCCCAGCGCCGGGTGGTTGGATTTGGGGACCGACTTCTCGGCTTCCCCTGCCCCGTGGGGCGAAGGAGATCGCGGGGTGGGGGTGCCGGCCAAGCGGGCAACTGGGGGG